TTTTTTTTAAACCGACACATTGTAATAGCAAATATATTAAAGAATAAACATAACGAGGAAAAGATCTGGCTTGGATCAGTTGGATGTATGCTTGTGTGCTTTGTTTTATTTTTGAAAAGGTTAAACTGTGTCTGTGTGTGTGTGTGTATGTATGTGTGTCTGTCTGCCTGTTTGTGTCTGTTGGATGGGTATGGGTGTGTGTGTGTGTGTGTGTATGTATGTGTGTATGTATGTAATGTGTATGTATTTCAATCCAGCATGTCTTGATAATAAAACTATGTAGGTTTTTTCCTCGGAAAGAGTAGTAGATTGGTTAGCTATTTGATGAAATAACGCGTGATCAGGTTGAAATTTAATTTAAATCTCATAAAGTTTCAGCAATTCAATAGCTAAACAAAATATCAAAATTAAAATTCAATTCCAACAAAATGGCCGATCTTGCTGCAAAATTCGCAGAACATGAAATTACGCCAAATATTATTGTAAATCCACCAGCAAAATTATTGAATGTAAGCTATTTTAGACCTTTTTCTTTTTTTTTTCATTTTTCCTTAATTTATTTCAGAAATGCTTTTTGGATTGTTACAATATTCAGGATTTGTTCATCCTGTTTTTACAAAATGAGAAATTTTGATGCTGAATTTTGCAAATTTTTCCTCATAAAAATCTTTATTCGTTTCAAATTTTAGCAAAATGATTTTTCTTCAAAGCAAATTTTTTTAACTTTAAATATTTTTTCTTTTTTTTTTGATTTCCATAAAAAAAAAATGATTGAAGATCTAAGATTTTCAATCATTTTTACAAATTTACAACAATCTTTATTACAGTTTATTAGTAATAACTGTTTTGATGAAATTTCACAAAAATAATTTCCTTATTTTTTTTCTTCTCTCTCTCTCTCTCGTATCATATTTAATCGTTTCAAGCATATCACATCTACCGTATCAATCAGACTATTTGTTTCATTTTTTTTTTTTCCTTTTTGCAATATATATTATCACTATAGATAATTCCTTCAAAAGTAACATATTTTTATGTTTTCTCAAATGAAAAAGCAAAAAAAAAAAACTTTCTCATTTTTTTTTTCTAATACGATTAAGTTTCATTTACTTAGTAAAGATTAAATTGTTAGGTAGCAGTTGGAAAAATACTTATAAAGAGAGATATGTTATGTAGCATCAAATTTTACAAACTTATTAATATCACATTTTATTCTCATCTTTCATAAATAAATATAATATGTAACTAAAAAAATCACTTTTAAGGCCTGAAATTATTGAAAATAGAATTTTTATAAGAGTGATATATTGATAAGATAAGGTGATATGCTCTATGATTGATGAATGTTAGTCAAATTAAGTGAAACTGTGGAAATGATCTATGCAGCATTTATTTGCAGTGCAACTGGGATGGTATACAAGTGCAACCCGGGCAAACGATGTCACCACGAAATCTTCGTTTTGCACCACGTGTTACTCTGGACGTTGATCCAGAATCGACATTTTCTATGATCATGATCGGTTTGATCTTGCTTCATGTATATTTGCTTAAATTGTATACCATCTTTCGAATTTTCCAAGAACTTTTTAGCATTTAAATCCATACATCAGAGATTAATACTTACTAATGACCTTCTAGACATGATCGGAAGCTTTGTTCATCCATGATGTTTAATACGGATCTAATTCCTTATTCATTTTTTTCTACTCTCTATGCCATATATGTATTCTTCAGAGAATACAAATCTTCAGATTTTAATTATAACTTCAGATTAAAGAATTCTTGCATCATTAACTCAAAAAGTTTCAGATCCTGATAATCTGTCACGGAAGAACCCGTCCGTAGCCGAATGGCTTCATTGGCTGGTTCGTTATTAATGTCAACGAAATGAATGCATTACAAGATTTTATTTTCAAGAAGTTGTCGGATGTATCATTTTTGCGAGTTCAGCTCGCATTCCTTCTTGATCTTGAATGAGTAATTGAAATAGTGTAATTCAGTCAAATTAAAACGTGAATTTTAGAATTTCAAATTTTGCAAAAAATTTCCGAAAACTTGAGAAATCCCATTTGCATTTCAAGTATTTTTCGTGTTTTGTATTTCAGGTAGTAAATATCCCCGCAAGCAATATTCAGGAAGGCATTAATGGAGGTCAATTTATATTGCTCAGTTTAAAATGAATTCTGTCGTCTCATGAAATAATTTCTTCGTTTTATTGCTACTTCGTTCCAAAAAATGATTTGATCATTTAGGACAACATCAGATGGCGTATGGAAGTCCTGCACCACAACCTCGCACCGATTTACACCGCTACGTAATCCTCCTGTATGAACACCAAGGACGGCGAATACAAGTACCAAAAATCAACAGCAGAGCTAAATTCAACACGAAACAATTTGTGGAAAAACATAAATTAGGTATGATTTCGAAATCCATTTTTGGAAAAAAAAATCTGTAGAGATGGATTAAACGAATAAGAAGTACCACTGAAGTTTATATACGGTTCTACAGAACAAACTCCGCCGAGAACTTCAAACAAAATTTCTTTTTCGCCAAGCAATATTTTGTTCCCAAATTTCAGGTGATCCAATTGCCGGCAACTTTTTCCTGGCGCAAAATGAAGGTTGAACAAGCAAATCAGCGATGGAATGCCTTCAGACGTTAGAAGGTCTAATGTTTCTGCGTATAAAAAATTTTGTACATGCACACTTCTATTAAATCATTTTCTTGAAAGATCGTTGTCCTATACGTGAGCGGATGACAGCAATAATGTCCACAATAGTGCTACTTTAGAAACATAATTTTGTAAGCGATACTTTCCCCACCATCTCCAGCAACCAAAATGATCCATATCTTCTATTGCTGTGCTAAGAAAGAACACATTTCATTTCCAGTTTTATATATAATTAGCTAAATTCTTCAACTGCAAGGAAATAAATAATGTTCACAACAGTGCTTTTTAGAAAAATACAAAAAACAATTCCTATTTACAATTTGTGGGTCTTTGGTAGTAGAAGATAAAACAACTATAATTCTGACTTTAGACTCCACACAGCCATAGCTTTTCCAATGAATATGTGAGGGGAAGAAAAAGGGAGAAAGCCAAAATGACCAAAAGTTATGCTAAATTAGTTGAGAGAAAGCAAAGTGATCATAAAGTTATGCCGAATTAGTTTAGGAAAGCAAAATTGCTACTGACCTACTAATTAAAGAAGTTTCCATTCAAAAAATGGAAGATTCAGCGAATCGAAAAAGTAAATAATATTCACGAAATTAGGGAAGAATAACTTCAATTTAGGTTGACTGCTTAAGTTCAAAAACAAGCTTCTAAAACACAACCAAGATTGCTCATATTAAGTGATCGTCATACGAAAGGATTGGCGATTTGCTCAATGCCATCGTTTGGTGCAACAACTGTTATTGCAGTTCCTCGAGCAACAATCAAACCTAACTGTCTCGTTTCCTTGAAATAAGGATGAAGTGGTTTCAAAAACTGTTGCTATGACTCAAAAGATTAGAAAGCAACTACTCAAAATAAATGTCGTTTAATTACTGCATAAAAGCTATATCCAATACAATAGTCTCTATGAAATGGTAAGCAATAGAGAAGAAAGGAAAACGAGTGAGGTATGGAACTACAACCAACCTCTGTCACTTTCTGTGGGTCTTCCGTGTCGCGCACGTATTCCACAGCATTGTCCAGTACCAAATTGATTAAAGCATCATAACCTTTCAGTATTCCGGATGCTACAATGAAATCTTTTAAATTAATGGACATAATCTCGGTAAATGGTATTGAAATTAAAGCATAGCAAGAAAAAGGAGTAGGAGAAACGTATCACAGAGATATAAAAAAAAACGAACAAACACAATGAATAAACACGCTAAACATTTCTTTCATCTAAGAGAAAGCTCAGATGACCATATACGTCGTTAGACTATCAATTAGTCAAAAAATCGAGAAAACATGATGAACACTGAAAGTAAAGCAGAAAATCAAATGAAAGATAAGGGAAAGTATCTAAGCAGCAACCTTCTCGACCTCCTTGAAATTTGACGCGCACTTTCTTATCGATGAATCGCGATAAGTCAACGATTGATTCCTTCTTCCTTCTTGCGGTTTCTTCCTTTTCCTACGGGTAAAAACTATTGAAATGATGAGGAGCAAAATTTTAACACGTGCGAGCAAATTGGCAGCCGAATTAATAAGTGAATTAAATTGGACGGATTAATAAAGTTCTCAGTATGTTTTTGAAATAATAGACTGTGTTCAGTATAACATCATATCATTGCCAGTATGTTGTATTGCATATCAGCTAAGTAGCGGGAAATTAACAGGACTCACAAATGATGAGCGAAATAAAAGTGAATAGAGAAATAATGAACTGAAAAGACAATGGAAATGCCTCAACTTCTAGATCTATGCTCGAATTTAACGGAAACTTAATGTTATTGGTTTGATCTAGCAAATAATGATTCTCCTCCGTGATGCGATCCTATATAAATCACTTACTGGCATAATGATTCCTTCAGGCGTAACTTACTGTACTGTACTCTCGATAGCCCTCAACGATCCAGAAATAAACAGACTTGAACTGCAATAATAACAGTGATAATTACAGATTGAAAACGAAGTACTTGAAAGGAAAACCCATCCAAATGACGCAGACCTGATGACATCCATGAGTGACCTGAATTAAAAATACAGCATCGAAAATGAAAATAGTCAAAATTAATGAAAATACGCAGATATTTGAAAGAATTAACTATACGGATCGATCAATTCCATATCATTGGTGTAAATGGTTGACCGAATATAATGACCTAACGAAGTGACCACGATACGCAAACAGTAACACAATACACAAGAAAATAAAAAGCAAAATATATAAATATGTAACTGACCAAAAGTTCACCCAAAAAGCCCTCAAAGTTTATCAGAACGGTCCTGGCACGATTTGCTAAAAAAAAAAAGGCTCCCTGAAATGGTGATTAGGTATTGTCGAAAATTTTGTCAGGGTTCAGCTTCGTTCCGAATCTCTTAAAATTTTTTCTCTTAAATTGCCAATTTTATCCTGGGTTGTATTTCGCTTTACCTATATATGAGCAACCGGAACCACCTGAAATATCATTTTGATGACAACATTAATAAACAATTCTTAGAAAGTTTGTATAATTTTATTTCGACCTTCTCAAAAATTTCTTATTTTGCTTCATTCGATTGGTTGTACTCATATGGTACGGTCATATGTCATCGCTAAGGTTTCTTTATGTTTGATTGAAAAGGAAGCATTTCATTTTAATGCGTCTTGGTTATGTTCATTTTGCAATCGTTTAATTAGGCTTTAAATGTTAACTTCACTTGAATCAAACAACGACTTATGTATATATCCTAACGTAGTTACCGCATTTTCACGAATTAATTTTACTATTTTTTTAATGAAATTATTGATTTGACGAAAGACCAAATGTTTTTCTCTTTTTTCTTTCTTTTTTTTTGCTACGGATCTGAAAGTTTTTTTTTACAAGAGATCAAAAAATTTTTTTCGTGATGAATCAGAATTTTTTTTTTTCGAAGGAATCCAAACCTTTTTTTTAGGATAAGTAGAATCACATGTTATGCTACGAATGGTGCAAGTGAAATACTTCGACCTGTTTATTGGAACTAATCCAGGATAATACAAATTATCTTGAGTTTCGTGAGTTGATACGTTAAATTGTCGTGATTTTATCAGCAATTATACAAAATTGAAATGGTTCATTTCTACCCGTAATGGAACTGAAAAGAAATAATGGTATTAAGACAGTAGCACAAGGGTTCCAAATTTCACAGCGACTTCGATATTTTTTCAGAAATTTCACTGGAAATAACGCCTGTTTCTCTTTCCTCCTTTTCTTCATGCCAGTGCTACCTGTCTGCCCGTTATGTATGAATCTGGATACCCTTCCATCAATCTTTCCTAAATTGATGATTTCCAAAGAAGATGTATTAGATGGCGAATAAAGACTGCGTTACCTGATTGTTTTGACGAGACGTTATTTGTCCATTCTTTCATGCTCTTTGACCTCTGTTACCTAAATACCTTTTCCACATTTTATGTAGCATAAATCCTTTGTTTTTATCTGCTTCCTCTTGCATTTTCATGATAACTGTTCATAAGGGAATAATTTACAGATTTCTTTTCCATTTGATCTTACTTTTGTCGGTTGTGACTTTTTAATTTTTGTGCTTACACTTCATTTTTCCTATTTCTACCGTCCCCGTAAAATTACCAACTTTTTTCTCATTTCAAGTCTACAGATATGTGTTACATCCTCAAAAAAGGTTCTCTGATTGGCATTTTGGGATTTATTAATTGTATCGTAATCTACTCTCTCTGGCTGCTTCTTGAACGAAAATCCACTTCATGTGTATGTTGCAGCCTGTGATTTACATGTTAACCTTGGGAACCAAAAACTTGTTTTGGACTTCGTTCATATATTAATTTTTCTCTCTGATACCTTCCGGATGCATTTTCTCAACTTTAAAGGAATTCGACTTCATTTAAAATTAAGCGATTGTGTTTCTGCAATTACGCTGTCAATACTGACGAATTTTTAAAAATTTAGTTATTTTAAAAATATCACGTGAAAAGCACTTTAAAAATATGAGATTTATGAAAGGAACAATATCAGGCATTCAAGTTACAGTAAATCTAATTTGGACTACAGTATAATGTTACTCTGATTAGCTAATTTTTTGTATTTTCGAATATTTTTAAAGTGATTGGCGATGAAATGGCAGGACTTCAGTGGAGACGAAGACGATATGTTACACCTAATAATATCTCCGCGTAAACATACAAGTCCATACAGTACCTGACAAACATACTGGTCTATATAATTCTTTGTATCCGGAATAGAAGTGATGGGATGGAAGAAAGGAATGGTCTGATAATTACGTATATTTTGATAATTTGCATAGATCTTACCCATCTTTCTGATGAAATTCCCGATCATCCCCATCCTCTAATCTAGACTGATGCATTTGTTTTGACATTTTTCGACTATGCTATAGTTTACTTTTTTTTGTGAGAACGTCATGTTTGTTAAGCTTAAACTTATATGACGATTTTCGTTATCAACATATTTCCAGGTTATGGTAGTTTACGATAAATTCTAAATTTACGCAACTATATATATGCAAACTCCCTTGAACATGTTTAAAAACTATTCCAAATATTATACCGAATTTGAGCGCCCACCGTTTGCACCAACATTCTATCCAACGGAGGAGGAATTCGCCGATCCAATCGCATATGTGGCAAAAATTAAACCTGAAGCAGAGAAGTATGGTGTGATAAAAGTTAAACCTCCTCCTGTAAGTTTTTTGACTTAATTTGTATTGCAAATGAATATCTTTATGTGTCAGACTCTTCGGAAAGAGGCTTATGAGATGTCAGCCCTTAGATTGTTCTGCTTAATTTTACAACTTTTTACGGTGATGATTATATGGATCGCTTGACATCGGGAAATACTGACATTATTCGTTGTTTGAATCTTTGGGAATTTTCCTTGACATATTCGATATTTTCTCGTCGTTGTCATCCCTTTATTTGATTGAAATTTCTAGGTTATATTTGCTTACTTGTGGGGAAATCCCTTATAGTAAATTAATTTTTCTGACTTTACTTAAACTTTTTGGTTCATGGAAAACTTGACCTGTCTCAAGCGAGATTTGGTTTAATTGTCTTTCTGAGAATATGGCTATTTGACATAAAGCAAATAATGAATATTTTTTGTAGAAGCTACATTCTATGGAATGGCTTCATAAGTTAACAGCCGTTTTACACTAGTTCGCTGAATCAATTGAAAATTGATCATAGCCGTATTGCTCTGGTCTTGTGATGTGGTCACACATTTGTTCAGTTCCAGAGATTATAAATTCACTCTGTCCTGAATAGAAAGTGGATGGAATTAGAATATGCAGACAGACTTTTTCCAAATTTCTTCTTATTACCTTATATTTCTTCAATTATTTTTTTAGTCTTTTCGACCACCTTTCGCCATCGATAGTGAGAAATTCAACTTTACACCACGCATTCAAAAGCTGAACCAAATTGATGCATTAACACGGGCAAGACTGATATTCGATGCACAGTTGGCCAGTTATTGGCATATGCAGGGGCATACACTTGAAGTTCCAAATATTGATAATAAATATGTTGATTTTTATGATCTTTATAAGGTTTGTGGTACTTCTAAACGGCCCATTTTCTTCTCAGATTACTAGGAATGTGGAATATTTGTGATGTGTTACAATTGTTTCTTTATCGTACTACTAGTGAGTAATACTTTTTAATGACAAGTAAATTTGAAGATTTTAGACATCATTTGAGTTTTACTTTTTCTTTTCCCTGTAAGTATAGCAGGATACCGAAGGAAATAAGCCATTTAGTGCTAAAATTTGCATTTGTGATACGCCATAAAATTTGCTTTTCCTAATTGGATTTGCAGGCTCTAATATTTGTAGGCTGTAATGGAAGCCGGAGGGGTTGATACTATAAACGCTCAGAAGCGATGGGGCTATATTACAAAAAAACTCGGATTCAAGCAACAACGTGCCAATAAAATTAAAACTCTTTACTTCAAATGGATTGACGTTTTTCACAAGCTTTTTAATGTATGATGTTGTACTGTCACTAAGAGAAAAGAAAATTCATCGCATCATTATGTGACTTTTTTTTCCACTGTATAAAATTCAATAGTAACCGAGTTTACGTAAAATATGTTAACAGTTATTTTACGAATGAAGGGAATTCTTAAACTACAACTGGTTGTATGTTGAGTTGCTCAAAATTTCTATTTGTTGTAGAGATAATTTCCTAATTTCCGTCTTTCATTTTAGCAGAATAGAGATGATGAAGAAAAAAATGACAGTTGCAGCAGCACAGCGAATGGTATCGAAACTGCACAAGTAGAGTATAGAAGACGAATCCCTCAACCTAGAACAAAATCTATGGCTGGACTTCGTTTTCATGCGAGTAAGTCATCTACCTTTCCCCAGTTTTTTCCAATTTGTGTAGTTGTTCTAGCGTTAGCAGTTAGGCTGTTCATGGATGAAAATTGTGCAAGTCAGAATTTTTATGAGAATTGTCGGTTAACGGTGCAAAATTCGGACTTTACATTTTACTGTGTTTCAGTGTAAGTTCCAGGAAGGTCTTTATGACCTCCGAAATAAATATGCACTCTATAAGTTTCAGAACATCAGAACACTAGGAAGCTTTTTTTTTATCTTCAGCGACGAGTGGAAGACTCGATAAAAGAGTCATCATTAAAAAGGTAGAATTTATTTACATAAGATCTAGAACATTTGCTGATTATTATGCAATGATATTCCATAGAATTCTATAGCAGTTTTCTAGAGGAGAGGAAAACGAGAACATCAGATCCAATGGATGAAGTCGTATGTAAGAAATGTGGCAAGGGTGATGACGAGGAGCATTTATTGCTGTGCGAGGATTGCGATTATGCATTACACACTTACTGCTGTTCACCGGCACTGCCGAGTGTCCCACAGTGTTGGCTTTTTTATTTATAGACAATATTCCGGAATGCCCTATATTAATTAACCTAATAAAAACAAAAGAAATTCTTCCTTTATTTTTTCAATATCACTTCGTCACTTTTTTTCATTATAATTCCCAATGGCATTATAGTTGAATGGCGTTGCCGTCGATGCTTGCTGGCTTCAGTCAATGAGATTGCAGAAAGTTATGCATTTCACGATGCACATACCAGCTATAACTTGCTTACGTTCGCTAAATATGCAAATGACTGGAAGCAAAACCATTTTCATAAAAGTCCGCTGGCAAGTTATTGTTCTGTTCATTTTCTGAAATTACAACAAAAAGTATGATAGAAAGATCATATTTGGTCACTAGAGGAACAGCAGACCAATCACTTCGACTTTTTTTCGTTTTTTGATTCTAGATACATACTTATTGCGTTTCAGACAGCATTAACTCAAACCTTGTTCATGAAGATGGAAATAAGTGATAAGGACATTATGTCCTGCTGTTGTGTGTTACCGGAAACATTGTTTTTGCAAAATATACCTTTAAGATTACTGCTTCCAGGAAGTACCTTCTGAAGAAGTGGAGCAAGAATTCTGGAAAGATGTAATTGATCTCGAAAATACCGTAGTTGTAAAATATGGTGCAGATCTTGTGGTCACTAAGGTGTGCTTTTTTCCTTACTTTTATTCAACACAAAATAACTCGACAAATTTAATTTTAAAAAAAATTAAAGGTCGGTAGCGGTTTTCCAATGAATGGGCTTGATTTCGGCGGAAAAATGGATCACAAGGAACGTCAATATTATGCGAATCATCCGTGGAACCTAAACAATCTACCGATATTGAAGGATTCTGTTCTGAGCTACATGGAAACCGGAATATCCGGTATTTTCTACTTTTTCCATTTCTGGATATGAACCTGTATTAATTTGCCATTTTTCAAAAATACGACTACTGTTTAGGTATGATGGTACCATGGGTTTATGTGGGTATGTGTTTGAGCGCTTTTTGCTGGCACACGGAGGATCATTGGACCTATAGCGTCAACTATTTGCATTGGTTTGATATGTTTTAAATTTTATTATACAATAACTTTAGGATTATTTAGTATATGCTAATACTTAGTGTTTATTGTATCTACTTATTTGACAACCTAATTTTTTTTTGAGACCGAGTAAGGATCGCATCAAGGAGTGTTTTATATTTTAGGGGTGAGCGTAAGATCTGGTATGGTGTTTCTGGCGATGAGGGCGAGAAATTCGACAAAGTCATGATGGAGCTTGTTCCGTATTTATTTGAACGTCAACCGGATGTTCTGCATCACATGACAACAACAATGAATCCAAAAATTCTTATAAACAAAGTGAGACGTGCGATTTTTAATAACGCTTGTATTTTTTTCTTCGGGAAATAAGTAGCAATATAAAATGACATGAGGTTTCGAAGTGAAAAGCTGCAGTTTTCCTTTATTTGATCTAATTCATGAATTTTTGTTTCGTAAAATTTCAACAATAAACTTTTAGGGTATTCACGTTTATACAGTTCATCAGGAGCCAGGCGAATTTGTGATAACATTTCCACGTTCCTATCATGCTGGATACAACGAGGGATTGAATTTTGCAGAAGCTGTGAATTTTGCACCTGCAGATTGGGTAAACTTTGTATTCACCTAGTTCATTGTTAGTTAAGCTATTGTTTGTTGCTGTTTGATGAAAAATAATTTTTTTGACGTACATCATCTTTAATTGTGAATAATTTACTGTTATAAATGTTTTAACAAGGAATCTTTTAAGACTAACTGTCGAAGATCGATCACAAAGAGCCAGGAGGTCATAAATCGAGCCGAAGGCAAATGAAATTTGAGTAAATAAGTAAAAACTCGGTCTCTACCGCTGTAGGATTTCATCTTTTCATATACTTTTGCATCATTAATATGTTGTATTTTGATATTTGATGTAGATCAGTAACAAGTATTTGCAGCTGCGCAAAGGTCGTTTTTGTATCTTGGAGTATGCTCGTGTTCATCGTAATTGTGTTTTTTCACACGAGGAACTGATGGTAAAAATGGCGAAGTGTGCTACTAAGCTGAGTGTAAACGTTGGTGTAGCTGTACATGAAGAGCTGTATGAAATTATTGTACGAGAAAAACATCTTCGGGATATTGTTACTAAGAGAGGCGTCACTCAGTAAGTTTATTATATTTTGCAAATGAGAACTTATAAAATTCGATATGCGTACATTGTCTTATGGGGACCACATTGGTTGAAGCATCGACGTACAGTAGCGGTGTTGAGGATGTTTTGAATAAGTATAAAAAAAACTGTCATATGTTGGTTCACTAACATTGTAATCATCTCAAGTGTAATAATCAGTAGATGAAATGAATTTAAAAAAATGGTTGAATAGGAATCTTTAGAAGAAATTCACTTATATATAACTGATGTGATTTACATGACATTCAAGATACGCTACACTGAATAACTTAATATTTCTGATAGCTCTGGTGGAATAACATAAATTACAAATGATCCTCCAGTTTTTATGGTTTTTCAACTTTATAAAAAAAAATTTCAGGAAAGATACCAATTTATTTGCAGATCAGCACGTGTTGAATATGAGCATATTCCTGATGATTTTCGCTCTTGTGCTGTTTGCAAGACAACGCTATTCATGTCATCACTTATCTGCAAACACAAAAGACTTGTATGTTTGAAGCACGCCGATCGTATCTGTTCATCGTGCCGGGCAGCAGACCTTACTTTCAAGTAAGCTTTTGGAAATTGAACAGAAAAGTTTGAAATATGAACATTTTACCTGCGTTTTAACGATTTGTAAGTCAAGCCTTGTAAGTTATCGAATAAATGTCCTAAAAAATGACTATTCCAAATTATATATAATGGCCAAGTTTCTTATCACTGTTTTGGTAAATTAATAATATTTTATAGTTACCGTTATACTGCGCAAGAACTGAATTACATGTACAACATGTTGTCATATGGGATCTGTGACTATTCTACCTGGAGGTCCAAACTTTTGTCAGCAATCAGTACAAAAAATGATGGTGTTAAGCCCAGTATGTTTTTGCCCAGTAAATTCGCATGGTTACAGCAAAATTTCGATGAGCTATTTAATTCTACTACATACTAATTCTTCAAATCAAATGCATAACTCAATGTCTTTTACATAACATAATTTTAAACAAAGCAATTTAATCATAGAAATATTGGATTGTTAAAAAGGGATTTAACAAGTGGAAATTAATATTTTATCGTCATATCACTTGTAAATCTACTGGCTCAATATTCAGCACTAGACGACTTACGTATTTTGGTTAGTGTTTCGAAAGCGCGGCGCTTCCCGCAATGCGATGCTACTGATGAAGCCATGAATATCATAAAACGTTCGGAGAACATCATGCAGAGTGCACGTGCACTGATGAGTCGTCGGATACGTACTAGGTCTGATCTTTGATGACATACAAATTATTTGTCTACACGTTATATAAAGCGGTTTGCTCGTATTCAGCCAAATAATTTCGAAACCATGCTGTTTGTTTCGGAGCTTCTTATTTTGATGCTTGATCTCGAACTCGATTTGCTAAATTCAACACGCGATTTAGTTGAATATTGCATCAATTTTGCTTTTTTTCTTTTTTTTTTTGAAAATGAAGTGAAATGCTTTGATATATTTTCTTACTGTTTAGGAACAACTTACGGAAGCATGCAAATGAATGTCCAGCCGATATTAGAGATATCGAGAAACTAGAACAATCGATTGAGGAATTGCCGTGCACTATACTTAATTTGGAATTCATCGTTAAGGTTTGTACATCCGCATTTGTCATGCTGGGGAAATTAGATTGATTTGGGGTCGATCTGTGGTCCAAAGTTCAGTATTGTTGTCAATTTACCATTTGAAGAAAGTTGAATCTTGTTTTTGCTCACAAAGATTAATAAGTGGTTTTAGAAGGGAGTTACGAGCAGTAAATATGGAGAGCCTATAAGTTCACCAGGATTTCGGAAATCTCAGTATTTTAACCGGTAACTTTTTATAGAATTATATGAAGCGTCTTGAAGATTGGCGTAAGCGCTGTTCACAGTTTTTGATAAGTGCGGTAGATTACACTGACAAATACAATCATTACATCGATTTGGTGAACAAACTGATTGAAGAAGCTGATGATTTCAATGTTAATCTAACGGAGATCGATGATTTGGAGAGGGTGAGTCCTTTATTGTTGATGAAGGCTTCATCGAGGAAGGAATGAGATAATTTTTGTTGGAAGAAGCACATTAATTTGATGTAACCTTGCTGTTTATTCACTACCTTTAATTTTAGATGTTAGATAAGTGCCATTGGCTACAATGTGCACATAGAATATTGACTTGGGCACCGGGAAATAAATCGGATGGTAAATCGGGAAACCAAAATACTGTTGGACCTGATCAGGCAAAAGGAAGATGGAAACTTCGAGAGATGATGGAATTAATCGAAAAGGGACGATCCATCGCGGATGACGATGTCAAATTTCAAACTGAAGTTGATGCTTTGAATGTGATGTTGAAAATTGGTCACCAAAATGAATATGTAGTTCGTTTTGTAATTTCTTCAGTCTTATTGAATTGACTGAACCACTTTGAAGGAACAGTCTTCCATTACATTGTGGTTTGTTTCTTAGCGAGTGCACTCGAAGCAGAGTATCCATCACTTGATAATGAAAATGTTGTGTCCAGTCAAATTTAAGATCTGCGTTTTTATTACTCTCCCTTCAAGTTGAAATTTCAGCTTTCCCATGAAATAGGATTTTTGAATGGTGACAAAGCTCTGATACCAGTGAAATCTATCTATTTATTCAACCTTATATAAGATGTCTTTTTGTAAAGGTGCAAGCTTTTTTACGAGATAAAAGGAACGAAGGGATTGGAGTGGAAGAGGCTGAGAAAATGCGAGCGGCTTTGGAAGTCTCCGAATGGATGACAGAAGAATGCATCGATAAATTTAGAAATGAATATAAGTTCGCTCGAAATGTTTATGACACTGCTCGACGTTTGAGGGGTAAGTTGTTTATTGAGGGTAAGTTTGAGGGGTGTTTGAGGGAAGTTCTCTATATTCATAATAATACTTATCCTGAAAGTTAATAGCGAGATCCAGATTTGGTACTGATCATTATATTATGACCTGGATTAAAGTTTTTTCATCTTTTGATACAGTCTGGCGTGTGTTTCAGGGTAATGGGGTATTTTTTTTTTAATTTCAAAGACATGTATGCATTTGGTGCAGCAGTTATTATTTCGAAGAATATTACCTGTTCTAAATCAGTTGATTTCTGTGTTTTCCTTTCAGTCTTATTGCCACTGACAAATTTTTAGGAAGCAAGAGTTACACGCTGAAATCTTTAAGCGATTTGCTTTTCAAAATCGGAAAATCTTTCATTTTGAAAAACTCAGCAATGAATTCGGATATGGAAAAACTCTATGACTGCGTTCAGTGTTTTTGTCGACATGTTGGCCATATGTTTGCGTCATCTCCATCTTATTATAGTATTGTCGAGGTTTTCTCTTTTCCTGGAATTATCCTATTAAAGGAGCCTTGAATTACCAGACAATTTTAGAAATTGATTGCATTGTTTCTATTTAAGATATTGAACGGTCGAGACGATTTAACAGAGTTAATCGAAGGTGTTGCAACGCCACTAACCCTGGTGGATTCACTTTCACTTCGTGACAATTGGGCATATATTGAAAATTTCGAATCTGTCGAACAGCTTGTAAATCTTTTAATTTTCCTTAGCAGAATGTATTGAATGTTCCGAAAGAAGTTCTAAGGCAGTATTTGATTACTTCTTTCCTGTGTTTTCTTTTTCTTCTGAAAAATTTAATTAAATTTCAGACACATCATGTCAATTCACTTTATGAGCAGCAGCGCAGACTTATAATAACTTTACGGAAATTGAATGAAGCCCGATCCATTGACGAAATGTGTTTGTGTGGTAGTGCGAAGGACGAGAATGATTCTGTCATTAGTTGCCTGCTTTGTCATGCTAAATTTCACTGTACGTTAATGAAATTAATTTGGTCAAACTCAAATTCATATTTTTGTCAAGTGTTTCTCTTAGTGCCACTCAAATTATTGTTGTACGCCATCCTCCTTTTTTGAAGTAGCAACCATTAAACTGATTCCTGTTAGTTTTTCTCCGTTCATCTTCTGATTAAACATTAGATGATTAGAAATGCGATTTTCGAGATTTTTACATAAACACGATCTGAAAGAGGAAGGAAAATGCTGACATTAAAGAGTTATTTACACTAGGTGTTTGAGGGGGTAAAAAGGATCAGGGACTGTGTTTCAGTTGGTTATCCTTTCTCCCTTTCATTTTTACTGCAGAAGAGTTGTCATCGTAAAGATGTTGTACATTGGGATAAGTTTGCGTTTTATAACAAAAGATCAGTGCAGATTGCATATTATCATTTTCTACTTGTTATCGGTACTATAATTATTTTATTATCAAGTAGGGTTTACGAATCTGCAGTGAAATTAAACTTTGATTTCTTACTTTTTTTTGACTCCATCAATCTGTTATATGAAAAATTTCTTCAGCAAGTTGCGTGCAATGGAATCCCTTCATGTCACAGCTTCCGGTGGGCTATTATCTTTGTGTTCGATGCTTACGTAGCCGTCGTCCTCTTGTTGAAGATGTAAAGGGTGCCTGTGGGACTGCTTTACCATCTTTGGAACGTATGTTGGTTGAAACCGCTCTGAAACATGCTGAATTGGCCTATGCAGAAGCACTGGATGTTATTGGCAAACTACCACCTCTTGGTACTCCTCTTGACGCGGAACTATGTAAAAGGTATATTTGTCTTGAAAATTCTTCATTAACGTTTCAGAACTTATAGATCTGAGTTATCATATGATCAGACTATCTGAGCTGCAATCGAAGATGCATATGATGCTTTATTATTAAACTTAAAGCGCTTATATCTTCGTTTGAATGATGTGCAAATAAATGAGTAGATAATTATTTATATTTTTTCCTTCAGTGTTGATGAGTCTCTGATTGCGGTTTTCTGTAACGAGATAATGAATTCGGAAGCATGGAAATTGATTACTGATGCACTCATTCGAGTGAAGCCGCCTGCTGAAAAAGGCAAAGAGATTTATGAGCAGATTAGACAACGACCAGTTTCGACACAAGTTCCGAGTGTTTTGTTTCCTGACAATAATGGTAGTAAAAGACGTCGAGGTCTGAAGCGAAGTATATTAGGAAAGGGCAAATTCATGGCGGGACATCGAAAACGTTCGAAGAACGATTTTCATCAAGAACAGGACGTCTGCTCTGCTACCACCTGCTTGAAGCCTTACAGTTAGTTGCTATGGCCTTTTTATATATTTGGCATTAAATTAGTTTGGTTTTAAAAAATCGGGATAATTTTTTTATGAATCGATTTTAAAAAATCAAAGTGAATTTTTTATAAATTCGTTCCTTTAAAAAAAATTAACTTGAATCAAACAAATAATGCAAAAATGACTAAGAATGAGAGTTGGTGGAATGTCTCTTATTGTTGAATTTTTATGTCATTCAGTACTTCGTTGAAAACGATTTCTATTTATGATTTGCACTTAAATGTTAATAGGTGATCACATTCGCTGGATTCAATGTGAAGCGGGTTGTTCACGATGGTATCATTATGTTTGTGTGGGGCAAACGGTGAACCAAGTGGACCAGACATCATTGTATTGTTGCCACCGCTGCTTGGCAGATGGCAAAATTCCACCAGTGTGTTCATTCTCCGGTCCAGCTACTTCATTTTCTCCTTAAGTGTCAGTCTATTTTTGATGCAACTTGGATTTTTTTGTCTTTTGAAAACACATAAAAATGGAGCAACAAATCCTCATTGCCTCTACTTTTTTTTTGGTCCCATGCATTGTTTTTTATATCTGTTTCTCTGATTCATGTTTTATTTCTTCGGATTTCAAGGATACACTTTGTGTATTGTTCCCTGTAAAGTTCCTTGTAAACAGTTTTTATTCCTTTCACGGATTTGTATTTATTCAGTAGCTTTCATTTCATCATTACGATGTATCAGTTGTATAATATTTTTTTCGATTTCAAGCATACATTGTGTGATCTCGTCTAACACAGTCTCTGTGTTTGTCAATTGATCGCTTGTTTTGTTTATCTTTTCTGTCTTGTTGATTGAATGTTCATTTCGACCCAGATGTTTTCTAATGGATATTGGTTTCTAAAATGGTATCCGATATTATAACATCATTCCATCAACTACTTTCCTTTCCCCTTGTCTCTTTCGAAGTATATATATGTATATATATACATGTAGTTTTTTTAATTTAATTTAAATCAAGCAAACAATTTAGAAGTGAACTTCTTCTCTTTAGTGATGTTAGATTAGCGATTCGTTGTTCTGAGTGTAGCGCCATGCTATATATGATCGTGTAATTCAGATTTATTTATAATCCTTTGTATTCCTTCTCATTTCCTCCGTTTTTTCCCTTTATATAAATATTTCCTATATTTCTACTTGTATTTTCATTTTTTGCTCTTTCTTTTATAGCATTTTTGGTTGATTATTATCAGTATACAATCAAAAATCAGAAGCGCAACAGTCTCTTTATTTTCAGCCAAAATATGTAAATGCTTTCTCCAGTTAATTTAGTCACAAGGATTGTGCAAAATATTTTTCTGCTCGTTTGTCATTATTTATTAGCGTTTTGCTATTGTGCTATTAGTGAAAGCGTTTTTCTCTAATGTGATATTTTTCGGTTAAACACTGATTGAAATACCTTTCATTTCTTTTCATTATTTTCATTCTTTTTATACTTTTTTTCGTATTGTTTTTCATATTAGTATATATTTTTGATTAAAATGTAGACAGCAGCAATATAGTGATAATAATATGGAACGATACGGATGTTTCTGTATTAGTTCTTTTTGTGGCAACATTGTATTGTATTTTCTTGTTCTCTCTTTGGTACTGTTAAATTATCTGTTGATAATTTCTTTTCCTCTCTGTATGTACTTCCATATTTTTAACTAAAATTTCCCTTCATTAAAAGATTTGGGAGGAATTTTTTCTTTCCTCTGCAGAGATCAAGTAATTCGACATTTTAAACCAGTGGACAAATTAGATGGGAGGACTTGATGAAGTTCCATTCATCTTACCAGAAAACTATCGATCCCACATTTCTGGAGTATTTATTTTGATGTATTAAATGATTAGATTGATTTAAATTTCTGTTAAAAATTTTTTGGACGAACAGAATTTCCAGATAACACATCGTTTGGTGTTGCCATTGCTATTTTGGAAATGGCGTCCATCAACATTCCTCTAATTGTATAAAATACCACTGAATCCTCCCCCCCCCCCCCCCTCCTTGTCTCCACTTAATTCATCCACTGATTACGATTCCTGTGTTCCAAACCATCGAATTACTTGATCTTTGATGCTTTATGACTTGCGTGAAACTTTCAAAGTACATACCGCGTTGTTTGCAACGTGGCTTAGTTGCTACCGTTACCGAAGATCGGGTAAGAAGTATATTTAAGTAGGCAGTGAAAAGTTTCATAAGCATACAAATTGTAAGAGTCCTAGGTTTTGCGAAGTTTTTAAAGATTATTGCATTCGATCATTGTCTGCTCCTACTACGATGTGCTTTAATTTTAAATTGGAAATTTAATAAAAAATTGAACAGAATTTAATTCAAACTGTTGTAAGAGGTCGAAGATTAGGGGGCGGGAATTGCATTCTTCGACCTTAATTTGCTCGTATTATGAGTTCGTATTATGCTTTTATGATGTAATTGGAGATTTTTTTGTTATTTATCTACTTCTGTAATGAAGTTTGCTCCTTCATCTTTTTTTTTCTCAAAAGAAATCGATTACGGATATGTACGAAACACAAAACAAACAATAAACCAAAATGAAAGGAACAACAATAATGATAGTGAATAACAATTATTAACAATAGTGGTGATATCATAATAATATTTAATAATAAGAGTAATGATAATAATAATAATGATAACTGAACACAGTTTTCGGCGCTGGTAATTCTCACTAGTAATTTCTCTCAATCCCCAATTATTTCCGGAAGTATTTCTGCGTTTCGCCAGGAATTTCATTTTGCCAGCAGCACTGGCGAACTATATGTTCTGGCTCAAAACCTGAAATTAAAATCGTATTAGTACGGCAATGTAACCAATTGGCGGATTAAATTGAAAGTGAAAAAAAAATACCAAGATAAGTGAGAAACTTGACGAGAAATTGAATATTTGTTTAATTAAAAATCTTACGATATGATCAATTAGCCAAGTAATCAACAATAAACTGAGGTACCATTGTTACATTGCTGTTATTTTTTTAGAAATCAATCAATGAATAGCATTCTCAGAAAAAGTTGCGTCGTCCCTTTTATAATATAGGAAGTTAGGAAGTTTTGTAGCCATGCTATCGTAGATGTGGAAAGCAAATATTGAAATACAATGAGAGAAGTATGTTTCATTTTCCTGCAGATTCTTTTCTTGCACCGAGCTTTCTTGGTCTGCGAAAGTCTACAAAGATAACTTTCTCTTCCTAATTAGAAATATGTTACAAAAAAAAAAAGAAAAAAATATAGTTAGAATTTCAGCATCATGAAACGGAAAATTTTCGTAAAGCCTAAGGACGGTGAATAACAACGAGTTGTCATAAAATAAAGTCAGTTTTGGGGAAATGTCTAATTTATGAAAAAGAGTCACTTGTGACATATATGGTTATGACTGTTGTATCAGATGTTCCAAAAGAAGCAAACAAAATTATGAAAGTTTCCAGGAATTTATTATTTATTACCAGTACTGATTGGTCACACTTATGCTTCTTTCATCCAGGAGTCATTTTTTTAGACTGCAGCGCAATCATCGTTATCATCACCTCTTCCCTCCAGTTTGTCATCGGCTTTTTTCTCTGGTTTGTCATCAAATTAACTCAGTTAAGAAAAAGCCTTTCCAAGCAATGAAAGAAAGTTTTCTGGTGGAAAAAAATTGTAAAAGTCTTATGGATCCAGCCTTTTTATACGGTCATTTCTTCAATGTGCCATCTTCGGTGATCGTGCAAAAATAATCTAAATAGTGGTACCAGGTAGTATTACTACCGAAAATGATGACTAGGCGTATTGAACAGTTAATTATCTGTGGCAATAATGTAAATAGTTTAGATTACTTGAACCGATCATTTACAACTATTATTTTGTCCATTCATCGTTTCATAGATCACAACTGAATCGTCATCCATGTGGACCACTTTTCTAGATTCACCAAAATGGATAAAATAATAAAAAAATAATGATATGAACGCCAATATTGCTGAAGAAATAGGATATAATGATTACAAATAAACGTCGAAGTCATCGTATCTTCACTTAAAGATTAGAAACTCCTTCGCTTACTTATTATTGTATATCAATTAATACGTGAAATAGTTCGTTTTGACGAATATTTCACGAACTATTTTCGTGACGAGCTATTTTTTGGGTTTGCATTTGCTCAACTTTTAATTTTTTTCCATTACTTCGTCTCCATTCGATGTCACATGCGCGTTTTCCATTGTGCCTACCCACGCTCTTCCTCTTTACCTCCTTTTGCTAGTCTAGAAAGATTTTCTATAACTACGCCACCTGTGGTCTCCGCAACATGGGTACATCATCGTCCCGAAGATCGATTCCATGTTCTTCTGAGCTTTCTCAGATGCAATTCGAGGTTTCACAACGTTCATCTATTATCAACGAATTTTTAGTTTCATCAGATAACCAAACTGGTAAAAATGACTTGTGTATAAGCTATTAATTACAAAAAAAAAAAAAAAACCATGCAAGACAATGTGAATATAAAAAGAAGTTGTACAATAAACAAGTAAGTTGCAATATGTCACAGGAAACAAAAAGAAACTCTTTCAAGTTCCAATTTTACAGTCCGGATAGCATCAAGTGAGAAGAAATGGGTCCAGAAAGGAAAGAAGGAAGCACTCACGCACGTGGACATACGAGATTACACAAATTCACGAGGATGATGATTGCCGATTACCTCTTTTTTTGCAAGAATCATTCAAACATGAACATGAATGGATCATACGCATGCGTATCCAATTTTCCACACGTATGATGACGCCAAAGTAGCGTAGGTGCACCTCTTCGTGCCTCAATATATATCACAGTAAGCAGCTTTACACAATGCTAGGAACTGTACTCTGGAAAGAAAAATCGATAAATCGATATTGCATTCTGGGCCTGGAATCAAATTTGAATATACGCTTGCGCACGATGATTGCTTATTAAAGACGACTGCGTTTAAAAATGCTCAGATTCTGTATTTGGATCGGTTACAAAGTGGTTGGGTACGTGATTTGCTCTGTGTTTCGGGAACATTTTGAGGGATAAGGTGGCGTAAATATATGGGGAGACATATGTGGATCTATTCGAATAATGTCTGCATATACGTGTGTATATGTCTGACATTTATCTCCTCTGTTTCATTCCTTTTTTCTGTTCATTTATCCAATTAGAAAGTTGGATGAAATTTTTCAAATACTGAAGTGGGAAGTTACTCAGATTATCAAGCAGCAGCATATTTCCAGCAGTATTTTCTACTCAGGCATATTTTCGCTTCAAATTATTTTGTATTCCAGTTAGATTATAATCGGGAGTTATCCAAAGGATTAAAATTGAAATTCGGAAGATGGTAAGAAGGCGCAAAAATGGTGCATACCGACAGGTATATTCATGTCAAGTCACCTATTCAATTTAATGTGAATAAGGGACTTACTGCGTGCCATTTTTCGGTAACTTTCTGTTAACTTACTCGAAGGTCACTGTAACGATGATCAAGTATCCATTTTGTACTCACAATTAGTAAGAAAGCGTGCACTGCATGAGTGAAATAGAACTGGTTGTGTATCGCGTGAATATTCAGAAAGAACGGGATAGTCGGACAAATGTTGCAAAGGATACTGTAAAGCAATATGGTAAATTGATTATTTCAGATGGGTGAACGTTTTCCACGCGGGACGCTATTAAGGACACACATGAACTTTGAAGAATTGACGAATGATGTCTGTCAAAACAAGCGCCAATCAAAACAAGCTCCGATTCGTCCTGACCACTTGTATCCTCAAAATGCTGCCGGTTCGAAGAAGCGAGTTATTGTGAACTTATCGGCACCACCAGATCTAAATATGCGTGTCGTCAAAGACAAGGGCTATGCTGACTTGAAGCGCAAAAGACTGAAGTTCCGGATGAGCGAACAGGTAAAATGCTTCATCACTCGTTATACAGTATACCGCATACACATACGGTAAACTGTATGCTCCTTCGCACGATATGCTTGTACACATAATACTGTGAGATTAGGTATTTATTAAGGAATTTATTCACCCAAAGAAGGCTCTCGTTAGAATTTTTATGGACGTTTTCACAATAATGTCTTGAGCTTCTTTAACTTTTCTCCTAGCTCAGGTGCTATTAAAATAAGCAGTTATAGCATGTTCCAAAATAAAAAGTATAATTCCTTCATGTGCCTTCTTTCTCGAAATCTTTATTATTCATCATATAAGTAACTTTTTACAGATACAACAGTTGCGCCCGGGAATATCAGAACGATTGACAAATTGGTTCCCAACACTGCATTCCGTCGTCACTTCTATGCTTATGATGAGCAAGATATTTACGCCAATGAACCGGAACTCTCTTGCGCAGTTTGCCGCGCAAAGGTACTTTAGAAATAATGAATTTCATGGGAATAATTTTATTAGAAAAATAGTCAAATAATCTCATCTGTTTGGTCCCATCTTCCATAACAATTTGCTTCATCATTCCAGGTATTGAAAAAATTCCTGGAACTCCATGCGTGGATGCATCTTTCGTGGGTGGTTCAGGTAGGCGATCGGCATCCTTTCCAGTGTACACGCTGTGAATTTGCTGCCTTCCGCATTCCAGATGTCTTATGCCATACCAAAGAGATACACGGTAATGTGGACGCAAATCTGTTCATCCCAACTGTACCACACGAAATTTTGCAATTTTTTTTAAAAAAAGTTCTGGAATGCTTTCCACCTATGAATTATTCTAATGTATAAGTATTAATGATCACAATTAGGGCAGTTCTTCTGTGAATTCGAATCTGTAAAAGAATTATATATTATCCAATAGTTGTGTCATTCAGATTTTGCACAATAATGAGAATGAATAAGGCGTGATGTAATAATCTGATATACTTCTAAGTATATTTCACAGAATTCTGTTGTATAACACAAACATCATATCATTGTCAATATCTGATCTTTGTTTTGAAAGGTGAATGGAAAAAAGAGAGAAGAAATGAAAAAACATTGAACAGTAACAAAATTACCTTGCAAAAAAAAAGAAAAAAAAATGCTAATCACAATATATTAGCACAATATATATATGCTAATCACAATATATTTGATATAAGTCTTCTTTATGTTAGATATGAGAAGACGTGTTTTGTTCATAATGGATGGGAAAGTATACAATGGACACATTTCACGCTATACCGGAGGTCATGATTGCTTAGAGAGCAGTACGATCTAATTCGAAATATTTGCTCCATATTTATTCTGCGCATTGGTGTTATCTGTCAGCGTCCTGTTACGATCACCACAACATTATGTGCAAAATATCATGACTTTATTCGTATGCTGTATACCATAATACCTACCACACCACCGTAAAATAAAGATTTATTCAAATATCATCACTCTGCTTCTGTTCTTTTTTCTTGATTTCATTTCATTCCACATAAAACTTCAAACGTACAATTCCCGAAAATCTCCAATGATCAAGTTTTTTTTCTGAGAAAGATTGGAGTTAAAAAGTTGTCAAGAAACGGATAGGAAAGGTATTCTGGTGTCACTGTTTACAGTTGTTTGAAGTTTCTTATATCCATTTTTAAATTGAAATCTGAAAAGATCTGGATGTTAACTTAATTTTTTAGTGAACAGGAACCAATTATCTTTTTTTACATGGCATCTGTCTAAAGAACCAGTTAAGCTAAATTTTAGCATTTTGGAAATTTGAACCTGCTGTATAGAAAAGATTTGAAAATGCTGCTTCGCTAACACAGATATCCTCTACAGATGACCTGGGCATCTGACGGCTCTTCAGCAAGTTTTTTCTGCCCGCGGAGATGCGGGAGAAGCCTGCCGCTCTTCTCGCCCCTCTTCTTTTGCATTAAATTAAAACCCTCCAATGTTGAAGTCTGTTAATCTTCCATCACAACTTCATCATTTTAACATCAAATAATGACGTAATTAGATCTGCCACATTTTCATTATAACATTTCATTTACTCTTTATGAAAGGATAGAATATATGCGTATACGGATACAACATTGGTTAGAATTAAGTATATTAATCCATCTCTCGAAAACCATTCCAATTTCTCAGGTGATTCCCTGGAAAAATTAATTGCCTCTCTTCCTCTACAGGAAATACATATCGGTCTTCTAATTTAGTTACACTTTTTCCTTCAAATTATACATTTTCGGCGCACTCGTTAGTACAGTAATTTTTGTAAATGACCAAATTCACACGCTTATTTACATTTTAGCATCACTAAATCAAAATTAACGATGATTAATATTTTTGATCGATGCATTTTTGCTTCCCCAATAACTATGATGTTGTGATAATTGCATACACTGATTACTTTCGATAGATGTCCATTTTCAGCGTCACCTCATGGTAAGGACGGCATTCAGTTCGCATTGGGAAGCCACCACGAATTGGTAAAAGTTATTTAGCAATAAATGGTTTAAATTTGGAGAAAATTTCCCAGAATGTATTTTGCATTGTTTAGATAACTCTCTGAAGATTTTATCTCATTGGAGGTTTTGTCAGGGAAAAAATTTAATAATTTAATCTCAAATGAACTAAGTTCGGGTGACAATTGATAACCCACTCCAAAAAGCCAATATCCAAAAGATATGGTGAGCTATGTGTTTGAACAGCCCTGACGATTATTTGATAAGAATAGCGCATAACGCCTTGCAAATGTAGCAAATGTAAACTTAGAACTTGAAGCCAGAAAAAAAACAAACGCTGATTTATAACACAAAGTATTTCAACTAACAACGAAAAATAAAGAGATCAACATGAAATATGCCACCTGTATGGAATAAAATGAGGGATCAAACAATTTAATTGAACTCGTAAGTCTGTGAAAGGAATCAAATACCGTATTTTCTTTTTTTTTTGTTTTTGAAGAGAGAAGACAGAGAATGGATTGAAGAAAGAGACGGGAGAATACAGAGAACATAGGGGAACAACAGTAGATGTGAGACTGCCTTTTACTTTTTTACTTGAAGGACTTCGTTTGCAGGTGAGAAGTGATAAGTGTTTAAGGTATAGCATTTTTTGGAACTTAGCTTTAAATCTCAAATTTGAGAAAACATTCAACTACCAGCAAAATATGACTGCTATTGTAGGCAACAAACAACAACTGTATTATAGGAGAAAGCAAAATATTGTCAGGTATGTTCCAAACAGGAGACAAGCTAAAACCAACAAATCATTAAAACTCTTCTCGTGAAATATGCACATCTATTTTTCAGCTTCATTTTCTAACATTGTATCCATAGCCACCTTCGCTCAAATATCGCTGAAAAATAAAAGATTTTTCCAATATGTCAATATTTTGAAACAGAAGTGAAAGAATTTTAAATTTTACCGACAAATGTCAAAAAAAAAGAACAAATTATAAATTCAATTTTTATTTGTTCACCTATTTTTAAGCCCAATTTATTTCCACCAACATAAAAGTTATTATTTGATGTCTAATGAGAAATTACATAACAACTAATTTCTAATTTAAAACGTTTTCATTTGCATAAAGTTAGAAGAAACCAATGGACAATCAGTCGAGACACTTAATGCTTACCACTTCAATACAACTTTATGGGAAAATATCTAACGGAAAATTGCATAATAACTCATTTCTAATTTAAAATATTTTTATTCGCATAAAGTCAAAGAAACTGATGAACACACTTAATCAGTAGAAACTTAATGCTTATCTTTAATTCAATACAATTTTAAGAGAAAATATATGAATACTTCATTCTAACGTGAAAAGTTGGTGTGAACAGATTTGTTTTAAAAAAAAGCCACTGTATTAAAAGTTATCAGTAGAACCCTTTGTAAAGTTTTTCTATATCATCCACCGATTTCATTTCAGTGATCCAAATATTACAAAGTTCACCTCAACACGATGATAACAGCTTTCGTTACAACTTTCTGAGCAAATTAAACTGCCTTATAATCAGAATGTTAATTTTGTTGGATGCAGATTCTCACCATTTCATTACGAAATTCCAAAAGAGAAAAATTTTTAAAAACAATATATCTAAAAATGAGCAGAACACACAAAAGGATTAGATAAGGCTATGTAATTAGAAAAAAATTGATTTATTCTAATTGATTAAAGTGGAATATGCTAACTTGATAAGCTTCTGGTGAGAAGCCATCTTCATAGATGGACTAATGGCAATGTGGCTTCATAAGTCTGTAATAGAAGTAATGAACCAACAATCACTATTATTTTTTCAGAACTTATTTTGAACGACCTACGAAGTTTTAGCAGTTCATGAAAGCGACTTCCTTAAACTTTCTTAAAGTTTAGTTAGACATCATATCATCATTAAGAAGAACTGTGGCTGCTCAGTAACACCAAAACAGAACGAATATATATCCCGAAGTTGTCAAGAGAGTGTAGAAAGTAGTATAATGCAAAGTTTAGTAGTACGAACCATAGCCTAGACATAGTATTACGAGTATCCCTTTCAAGTAGTTAGTGCGCAACCGGTATCAACGGAACCACTACTGAGGGAAGCCCAGTACTTAAAAACAAGATAGTGCTGATTGCACTGGTAATTCATACAACCTGCACTTACGACTGGATTTCAATAGACTATAAGGAATTTGAATAAACCATCACATGTATCAATTATATCCTGCTGGTACATTTTTTCTCCATACTGAACACATTAAACCGGTTTTCTACACCTTATTTTCTCTTCACTTCAGAGCTTCTAACTTATCAAAAGATACTCTTTTCAATTTAATGCAAATAAAGTTGAACACATCACTTAAATAAATGAACTGAAGTTGCTTACCATCCCATTGACCATTTGAAGTGAATACGGAGAACGCATTTGTGGAAACTGAGTTGAGGGTACACCCCACGAAGGCATGTGAAATCTGTTTTGGTTCAAAAACTGATTGTTCTGCATAAAGATTTGCTGTGCAGGTGGATGCGTGAATAACATTGGTGCAAATCTTGGAGGTGGACAACGCACAAACCCATTAGGTAAAACTTGCAAGTTGGTTTTTATTTTGGAATGAAAATGTTTGATAGGTACAATACGCGAGAAATCATGCGCGATTTGCTGTGCAGAGGTTCCTGCCGACGGTGGCTGCTTGTCTTCTAGTGTATCATTATTCACGAACAATCTAATTAATTCCTGGAAATATGACCAATCCAGTCATTTGGAATGAACCCAATTATTTCGAAACTTATTTTCGGTCCTAATTTCGGTAAATTGATGGTAAATTGATTTCATTTGAAGCAATAAACGCCTTTAAAGTTAAAGAAATGCTTATTAAGGAAGGTTATACTAATAATTAGCCGTTACAAAAATCTAACATAGAACAGGTAAAGTGAAAAATCATGTAGGATGCGACGAGAGTTTATAAACGCTTCGGTAAAAAATAGTGAAAAATTTCTTAAAATCTTAAGCGTCAACAATCAAACTAACAACTGTATTAGAATTAACGGCTAATATAGTAGACTGATTCTGAATTGTGTTTAGTCAATGGCAGCATCATTACCAGGGAACATACTGTACTAAATATTCAAAAAATTTTTCAAACAAAAAACAAACAGCAACGTAATATAAACCAGGACTTGGAAGAACTGTCAAAGTCAAATTATATGATAAGTAAATACATACCGTTTGATCAACTGTGACAATGTTATGCGCCACCGCTTTCACCGCAAGACTTTTGTCGTTTGTGACGAATATTACCGGTACTCCCACATTCCTGTCTAAAAGAAGGCCTTGCATCAATAATTTCTTTATAAAAAAAAAAGCAATAATAAGCAGAGTTGTCATTCGTTATGTACGAAACTATAATAATAACTAATGCATGACGAGCAGTCGAAATGTGATCACCGTTATGGGTTGATTTAGTGATAAAAAATGAATGAAAGTGATGAAACAATGTGGGTAATTTCCGAGAACAAAAATGACAACGATTTCAAATTAAATAAACTAATTAAAATGAATTTCAATGAGGGAGTGAATTTATGTTGTATTTACAAATAATCAGAAAGGTAAACAAAGAAACAACCAAACGAGAAAGAAAAATAAAAGTAACCAACATCTATTAGTGGTAAGGAGTGCGCATTTCAGGATGACATCATCATTGTTCTGGCATCCGAATTCTCTGACACCGAATGAAGCCTGAAAAAAGTGTTTGAGAATGGAAAACCCGAATGAAGTGCTGCCATCCATTCAAAGCAGAAATGATTGAAATCACAATAAGAATGAGACCGTGGTTACACAAATTGATAATTGAAGCTTATTTTTAATTGAAAAATACCTCAAACATATTTTCGATATGCAGATAATAACATCCACCTTTTGAATACTCATTCAAAATCTCAAGTGTTCTAATCACTTTCGTTCGCAATTTCTCGTATTCCTGTGAAATTATTGAGAAAGTAAGGTATTAAACTACATTGCGTTCACCTAAAAAATTGATTTTAAAATGTGAAATTGAACAAAGAATTCAATGATTTCATTCACGCCCACTGTCTTCCATAAAATGCAAACTGGATATGCCATTATAGTGTAAGAAATGAAACAGCCGAGCACAGTAGAATATAGCAAAGTATAAATCTTAGAAGTTTTTGGGGAACTAAAAAGTTGATAACCAGTGTTGGCTGATTAACGATAGTCCTATTCCTACAGTGCGAATAATGATACACTACAGAAAGCTATTAATCTGCTCAGCGCTGTAGATCATTTTTTCTCGCCCAGAAGAATGATGGCAGACAGTAGATATGTCGTCTTGGACAGTTAAACTTCATATTTAACTTCAATTTGGTAACATCATAAACTTACAGTTCTCCTCAGTCCATCCAGCTCTTTCAAAACAGTATATGGAATGAGCACATGATACAGTCCTACAATAAAACTGTAAAGTAGGAAGTACTTGTTATTTCATTGTATATTTGCAAAGTCATAAATGTTCAAAAAAGAAAATTTTTGAGTAAAACAGACAAATAAATTCGTATAGTCTCACAATGCATTTAGGACAACTGCAGTGGACTAGAGATAAGGATTTGATGCACGACTTAATTTTCCTACAGTTAAAATTGCCGTAACAGAAGCTTAAATAAAGAAATAAAGTGTACTGCTGATGCAAAGAGGTAGTAAAATTGTATCGCGAAGCAGACCACTCGTATCAAACACGATCATCGTCATACCAGCACTTTTTTTAATTCCACTAACTTCCATATGATTTCCTGCATAAGCAGGATTCTAAAAATATGATAACATGATCCAAAAAAATCTCTATAACATATGCTTTTATCAAAGGTACGAACACAGCTGTCTTACAATGGATATTTAATTATCTGAAAAATTTTTTATCTGAAAGTAGAGATGCATGATACCTCGATTTCATGAGATTTTCGATAATACAGGCACGATTATTGCAGACTTGCTACTAATATTTTATGCCGAATACTTGAATAATCTAATATTTGGAAAAGCGCGAACTGTAACGCTTGGCAAATAGTGTGGAATATTTTCGTGTACTAAACCTAATTCGACAATTCAGTGCCTTATGACATGATCCAGCAGCAATTACAACAGCAAATAGGTCACTTAATAAGCCGACATAAAAAAGTAAAACTTGAGTAAATGGAATTTTCATGGACCTCAAAGTACAGATCTGGACGCCAAAAATTCTGGAGCCTGAAAGTTTGTACCTCTCTAATAACCAAATCCACGTCTATCCATTCGTCGTCAATTATGCTTTCTGCAAATGGAAATATGCATGGTGCTATATGAAATCAAGTTACCGACTGAGCTGTATCAGTTTAACAAACAGTGGTAGGTATTAAAAAGGAATCAAAGTCAGAATAAGAAGATGTGAAAAGATAATGACGAGATCATCAAAGCAGTAAATTAGCTTTTTATCTTATATAGAATGTCATTATGAAAAGCGTTTACAAGATTAAGTAAGCGGTACTGTAAGTAATTTAAATGCAAAACGAAAAAAGAAAAACAAACCTTCCTGCCCACAATTCTTGATTTGTATGAACTGCTTATTCGGTCCTTTAGCAGTATGCATGCTGAAAATAGTCATATGTTTGAGTTATCTTTCAATACCAGTTAAACTTATTATGGGATGAGAAATTTAAAAGGTTTAATTAGAGCTTGAAGTTTTGTGATTGTTATACTTTCTGGAGATAACCGATAAAGGTGAGTACTATTGTCACGGTTTACCTATATCTAAGGATTTCGTTTAATTTACCTGTTGATTAAGCTATTGATAGCTTAGATCCACTGATCTAACAGTTGAAATGAAGTAGAGTTTTTCCACTCAGAAGTCAAATGAAGTTTCCCAGAAAATATCACTTTCGCGTTATCGTTGTTATTTCAGAATGGTAATAAGTGATTAATGATTTTATGAAAATCTCAAATAACTTTTAGAAGCAAATTTCCCAAAAGTTGCATCTAAGGGATTTTGGTGCACATGTTGCAAGCACTGGATCTCAACCAGCACTTCTACTTTGCATCCTTTTTCAAATAAGTACTTTCTCAAAAATTAAATCACCAGGAAATATGTCAAGTTGAATCCAGAAAAAAGTTACGGCAAACCGAACAGTTGCAGCTCATACTATCCTTCCAATCAATATATGTTAGGATAGGAAAATCAGCAGTCCGAATTACTGAATTTGAATGGCATAATATTCCACTTGCAAACTAATTAGAGTCATGTAATTGATTTAGTGACATCACCTGATAATAATAAACCGCTAATTTAAAAACTGCTCAATAATTCTTTGTTTCGTAGTAGAAATCAACAAATACCAATGGGCCACATTGTTTTTACGTGAAAAACAAACACTTAATTTTAAAAGGAAACGAAAATGAAGGTTTTACATGCACTCACTGGATTAGGGCAAAATTCAGCTTCGACAGTAACCCACATATCAGAGGATTGCAGGAGAACAGGATAGATCGCTAGACATAATGAACAAACAAAACAAACATAAGATGGCATAAAAGTCACGTTTCCAGAATGTTAATAATAGCTTAACCAACAGGGTAGATTAAACGGTTCAATTAACCTATTTGAAATAACCGGTAGTTAATCCGTAATTAGGATATATGGCCTACTGAATAAACGAACAACTGGACAATCCTCTTCCAGCAAAAGAAACCATTTCTCCCACATTTCCACCTCCAACGTATATAAACGACACTAGCTTAGTCATTACTTCCATATTCAGCTGACGAAGTAAAACCAACCCCTGGCATTCACACACGAAAGGAGGATTCCACGCTATTGGAACATTATTCGCTCTCCAGTTTACCGATGATGAGACCTTCCGGTTATCAATCCTGAAATGAACAGATTATTAAAATCTCACACTGCACTAACAACAATCTGAAACAAACTGCATTATTATCAATATGTAAATATGTAAAACATGAATAAATAAATGCATTTCTGTGCATGAATTTTAGTCTTATTATTCGACGGTCTCAAGTTGTATGGATGATGATAACAAAAGATTTCGATGATTACGAAACAAATCTATAGGCACGAAAATTTTCATAGTTCATGACAAACGCATATCCATGAAATGGATCACAGCCATGAAAAATAGCTGGAAATATAACCTGTTTAAATAGGTCAATGTTAATGGCATCATATATCAATGACTTTAAAAATAATTGTGAAAATTTCAAATGGAAAATTACGGCATATTGAAATTTAAGCTCATTGTTTATGCTTCGTGAAAGAAATGTATACACAAACACCAATAACGCTGAATCCAGGTTTATATGCACCTCTAAAACTAGCATTTTGTTAAATTACTACAATAATACGTATTCAATGAAAAAAAAAAAAAACAAGCTCTAATAACTGTTAACACGAACGGATAATTCCAATAAGTATTAGCTGAATGTTACAAAATGTCAATTAATTTCCACGTAGTAACACCACGTAATATTACTTAATGTTATTTAAACGTTAACATTACGTAATGTTAATCAGATTGTTTTGTTTATATACATCGTGAAAGTAACACATTTCAATTTGTTTTTCTTACGTCATAATTCTGTTTTTACATTAAGTGAATTTTAGCTTTCAGCGTTTTGCAACGTTTTGCAGTGTTTCGTATTTCATGAACTGATAGTAGTTTACTTTGATGTTGAAACGCTTTGATATAAATAAGCTTCACGTGGATCAATTTCATTTCTCTTACATATTTAATCCTGTTTTACTCAAATTTACTTCTCATCTACTCTATTTTGCATAAGCGATAATGATCGGTCATAAAACCGATGATAACATAAGGCAAAACATTAAAATAGATAACCGTAAGACGTAAGCAACGAATACAAAAGTAACCCATGTTTACGAGATTACTTTTCCATTTCGCACCAGCTTTAACAGCAGACAAATTCATTGAAAATTTCATAGTCGAGAATCTCCCGGGAATTCCACGATTTTTGGTAGAATTTGACTTGTAAATTAGCAAGATTACGTGAAATTCATATTTTCACCTTTCAAATACCCTCAATTACCGCCAGAATTGCTGACTATTATCTTTTTGCGTATTTCCTCATTCTCTCATGCCTCTCTTGCTTGCTACACTATTTTTCAACTCTCTGCTATCCTGTTTAACGGTGCATTACAAACATTCCCAGCTATCAATCGTACGTCAGGTCATAATACTTGCACTGAGCAAATGCGAGCTCTATACCATTCTCGGTCTGAAACTACGTGGCGAATCGCTATTTAGGTGCTCGCTCGCAAGCTCTCCCCACCTTCTCTTTCCTTTTTTATGCTATTTTGCTCATAGATAACTATTCACTCTCTTTCCATCCTTATGCTATTTTGTTAATAGATAACTATTCACGTTTGTTTCTGTTTGACAATACATGTGAGAAGTACTCATCACGTTTAAAGCTGTAAAACCAGGGTTTTAATTTCCGGAAAATTCAGAAAAGCTAAGAACAGGCTGTTATTCCAGTAAGGAAAAGATGTCGCAAGCGTCATGCTTGATATTATGTCATAGTGTCACAGTTTAATATTATAAGTACCTTCCGAAAAAAGTCTTGAAGACGATATGTATCTGGACAATCTGATACCAGAACTATGTCCCAGTAAGGTCTTAGAGGCGAAATGAAGATAATTTTGAAGATCATAAAAAGGACTTTTCTTTTGTTTGTGCATCGTATAACAAGAAAAATGGTTTATTTTTCATATTATGCATTAATAAATTATTGTCAGGAATGTAGTTATACCGTTGTAAATTTCACAGGTCCATTCGATAGGAAGTACAATAGGTTGTAATTAATGGAAATACTGCATAATCTAATTGAGATTGTTGGTTTCATTTATTCGTAACCAGCATTTTCCATTTTACTGCCACAGTTATTACAAGATCGCTTGCAGAATATCATCATAAATTTACTTCCCGTATTGCACTCCCCGATGCTTGCCCAATAACTGCAGAATAAATTCTTATCCATACATCGTGATGACTCAGTTTTCCGATTTAATTTCTTTTTATCTGAAATTTTAACTAAATGATTGTCGAGGATCACTTTTCTTCTATCTTGAAAAACATTTAATTTACAAAGGGTAATTGAATTGAACCACGAAATATTATAGCATCATTCACTGATATTTTATTACTTAATATTACTTTTGCATTGCAGATGAATTCAATACTAACTTGCTTTGGAGGGACAGAGCCCGCATGCTTTTCTGCAATAGTGACCCATATATTTTGGCGAATATTGACAATGGCCAAGTTGTTGCCACATTTCACAGTGTGCATTCAGATTTTCGCAAACTGCAATTTGAAAAAGGACAGTAATTTGAAATTTTTAAAGAAATCAATGCTCAAGGAAGTGAAGGAATGCTTCTTGCCAAGTAATTTTGAGAGAAGAGGAAAATGAAGTTGAAAGGAGTAAAGGGTAAGGCTTGCTTTTTGATGACAAATGTTAATGAGGACTTGATGGAGTCACTATGAAAAAGTTAAGTGACAAAGGCTTTTATCATTACAGTTAGTATCATTACAGTTACTTTTGTCATTATAGTTAGTAATTATTTTGTTAGTATTATCATATTTAAACGTTCAAGAGAAGAATTTTAATAAATCTGTCAAATTTCATATGATGTTCAATAAAAAACATGCAATCAAAAGCATATTGAATTGAATTTTTGGAAATTTGAGATCCCATCAATTTATTGCTACTGAAAATACCTGTAACCACCGTCGTTTTTGCTTTTACGGTAGTACTAATAGGTCGGGATTTTTCCGTGATTAATGGTCTTTTAGTCCGAAATGGGTGAAATGGATGTAGTGTTATCGTGTTTTCCGATTGACCACTTGTGCTAGGGGTGAACAGCGTTGTGGTTGCAGTGGTTCTTCCATCGGTTACTGTAGCAGTAGTTGATGTTGTCATTGTTGTTGTTGCCGTTGTTGTTGTTGTTGTTGTTGTTGTTTTTGTTATTGTTGTTGTTGTTGTCGATGTTGATAGTGGCATTGATGATGTATCTGGTTGACTGCAGTTATAAAGCTTGTTTATCTTCTTGACATCGATATCGCTCAGCCCGTGTCGCTGTCCAATTCTCGCACTTCGATTCTAAATTCTTAGCATACATTGCTTGGTGGAAGTACAAGTATGCAATTTGATTAGAAATCCGCTTTTTAAATTATTTTTTAGATTTCAAATCTTTGGGAAAAGATGTTGAAAAAGAATATAAAATTTCGATGGTAACAAAATTGTATATTGATGTAATAATTATTTCAACATTCAAAAGAATCGAGCAATGTCAGCCATTGAACTTTCCTATTTAATTTCACCTATTGCTTAAAAATAAAATAATTCAGAATACCCAGTCGCAGACGACTAACAGATAGTAGAGCCTTTTAAGCTTATTTGAAGCTTCTCGGAGTGTGTACGTGTCAACCCTGATCAACTGTTATTATCTCCCATTATAATAAGTTTCCTAGCACAGAAAAACAAATTACCAACTTTAGGTAAAATAGTTGGATGGCCATTGCTGGAAAATGCAAGTCTATGGTAGTGCATGATCGAATCATAATCGTAAGGCATTCCCAACGAATCAATAACTTTTTCTGGATATTTCTCAAAGTTCCATAGCATCCCTAGAATTCGACGAAGATTAAATTTTATTTTTAAAATATTTTTAAGAGATAAGCTTGGCCAATTAGAAATTGTGGTAAGGGAAGGTGGCTATGAATTTTCCATCCGATTCCTTTTAAATTGAAAAAATTGAGTCCCAAATATGTCTGCATTGATTTTTTCCATAATAACCCAATTAAACTGAATACTGATCAAGAAAGGAGAGAGAGAGAGAGAGTTCCAAGCTTAAGTGTACCGAGTACCAGGTCGAATGTTTTCCTTGATGATATCTATATATTCATCGCGGTCGGTACGTGAATGCTCGTGAAAAAATCCAATCGTATGCATTAACTCATGTGCAATGATTCCCTTTGCAAAACATTTATTAGCTTCTAACGATACAGTCTGATTGCCACCAGCTCGTCCAACATATGACGAACAACTAAATTAATTTAGATCAATTTTCTAATAATCAAGAAGATCAAACTTTGATTAGGATTCAAAAGCATCTGATACTAACACATGCAGGAGGTACTGGAAATCTCCATTAGGTATAATTATTCGAATACTTACTTGAATATTTCCAAAAAATTGCTCATATTGTAAGTAAAATTAATAAATAATTAAGTTAACAAATAGATAAAATATACAAAACTATGTGTTAGTCAATGATATTTAATGAAAAAATAATGAAAACAACCCGGAGGCTGTATTCCTTCTGATAAAGATAAAATCGATATCACGATCAGTTTTTGGTGCAAATTTTATGCAGGTTTTTCCGTGGAATTCATCGAATGCTTGCGCAATGGCTACCCTTTGCCTGCAAATTTATCCTGTTCGTCTAGCTTACTGTTAAGGAAAATTTAATAGATGAAGGGATAAAATGATAAAATGGAATAAAAAGAGAAAGAGAGAGTTTTTTGGTTGTGACCAAAAAGAAATAGTTTTAATACATTCTTTAGAGTCATTGAATGATTTCGAAATATACCATTTTCGATAATATGAAATTGCATTTGCATGGTTTTCTCTGTATTTAAAATTTTAAGTTGCTAATATTTAAAATTTTCTTTTCTCTAAAATAATTTCAGAAACAAACTTACACTGTAGACATTCCTTCTTCCAATGAATATGGTATGCTTCCATTTGGCCATAGCCTATCTTTATACCTTGCAAAATTTAATGCGCTATGATACTGCAAAAACAATGAAGTTTGAAGCTTCAGACAAAATTTCATTATCAAACATAACCAATCATTCATGAATATGAATGAAACATACAGGGAGTTTGAATAGATAATCGTATGGATCCAGTGGTTCATCTCTTAGAATCAATGTTGATATTATTGTTGCCAGATCGATACCCAAGATATCACCCTCAAAGAGCTCAGAATTCATAATGGAACTTAGTCGTTCCTCGCTGACATTCTCCACTGGAATTCTTTTTTTTCAGAAATTCGATTAAATTTTTATACACACACAAACACAGATAAATAAACCGGTTACTAGATGAGTATATTCCTGAATCTTGCTGTCTCACTAATATTTATGGAACTAGTTCATATTAGGTATATAGCAGATGAAACGATTTTGTATTTAATAAGCTACAAGTGAAACAAGTGATGAGTGAATTCTTAATCCAAGGAGACAAATTGATGATATGAAAAAGTGTTCGAGAGAGTTTAAGCTAAATTCGTGAAACATTACCGCTTGTTTGCCAGGCAATGCAATGAAAAAATAAGAAACATTATTAGTCCGGTCCTGTCCACAAGGTATCTTCCCAGCAATGACTTACAGGCACCTTTTTTTTAAGCCCTTGATAAATTTCCGACATGAAAATATACAAATAAATTTCTGAATAAGGACCCAAGAGGTTGCGAAAACTCCAAAGTGCGCTACAATGTATCAGACTAGGGAACTACGAGTAGAAGCGCGAAATTATACGCAGGTTCACTTAATTATAAAATTACCGGTGAATTACTCAAAATCACGGTAGATTTCAAAACCACAAAGACTTCCTAAAGCATTGAAATTTATTCAACAAGAAAGCACCTGGAGTTATCTCGGCGAGAGTGAAGTCTTGTGGTTGTAGGTATTTCTGTCCCAGATCTGAAGTTTTGTTATCTTCAATGCAATAAAATTTCACTTTAAGCCCAAACTAAGATCTATTGAAATGAGCACTACAATAAGAATTCATATAAACATTTCCGAAATTTTAAAACTTTTCTTAGATTTTTCTCATCAATACAATGGTCCTGCTTTATCTTACAGCGATTGATTCATCTTGTCAACTGTTCTGTAAGTCGGCATTACTCAGTTAATATGATAACATAACTTGATTTAATCCTGATTTCTTTTTTTTCATTTTGAATTTATAAATCCCCATACCATCAAATAAGACTTTTTGTCGATCAGCTTTAATGTAATTCCTAATAAAATCACTCGTGAACACCGATAGAGCAGTGCCGCGGTCGGGTAATTGGTAAAACACAAAGATAGAAAGGAATATGCTGAGCATGATAATTGTTAACCAGCAATACCAATGAAATGGTTAGTGGTTTCACCGGCAATAATTTTTTTTTTTTTTTTTTTGAATAATATAATAAGGGATCGGTGATCAAGGTGGTCAAAATTTTGACAACAACAATTTCGAATAATAATAATGAAATAGATGAATTAAAAGAGTGGTAACGGTGAATTGAACGAAGTTTGCCGTGAAATTCGTATTTTGGATGAAGAGAGGGAGGAAGGAAGTGAATGTCGTTTAGGTCTTGTCGATGGACAGTCTATAGCGGACTGAACTGCTGCTCCTCTGGTCATTCCTCTTTTTCACCAAGTAGACAAATAAACACAAACCAGCCCTATTCGATATTATGTCAAAACTGGTCATCAGTGGCCACTATTGCAGGTCCCCCGTACTAATACTAGCTACACGGACCACCTTTACCACTACCACTCCTACTACTACCACCACTACTATTCTATTACTACTTCTACTAATCCTACTGTTATCATTACTAATAACTTCATTTTTCTATTTTCTATGTTACCAGGTTTTTCAGTATCCTCGTTACTTGAACAATGTCTGATTGGTCAAGCAAACATTATCCCTTTAGAAAAACTCCTCCCATTAAATTAATTAATTTTGAATTGGATCACACACGAGAAAATTACACAGTATAGAAAACTTGAAATGCTTTGATAGTATTACAGTGATGATAAAATTATCTTGTTGTGGTATACAACTTTTTCCATACAATACCGGGAAAACCACCGTGTGACTCCCATACTATTGTTGAAAACAACTGTACACGTAGCAGCTTTCGTTTAACGTATTTAACGCAAAAATCAATACTTCGAAACATTTTCGTTGTTTGAAATTATTGTTTGCTATTAAAAGCATGTGCCAAACAAACAACGTTATGTCGGTCAATGTTTACCTTTACATGTAGATGACCAGATTGGATGCATCTTCCGAATGTGTGAAAGCTTGACCCAAATGTTCTTTACAGTGTGCTTCAATAATGTATGTCCTATTTCCTTGAGGTTCCATAGTTCTCAACAGCTG